GTTGCTGAAATCGCTGCTCTCCTAAATGCATGACTACTCCGTCATCAAAATGAGTAAATTGAACTCTTGTTAGAGGGAGACGTTTTTTTTTTCGGGTTTTTTTTTTTTAGTTTTAAGCTGAACTTGCACAGTAAATAATCTGAAAATAGAGGAACAAGATTCACAAGGGTGCAGTAATAACTTTTACACAACATCTGATTACCCTGAAATACAATAAGAGTAAAACTCTAAATCTTCTAAAAGCCGTGTAATGTCTGTACAGCCTGTCCTGCCTCTCTTCTCTGCTGCTTTCAATTTGATTACGAAGATCTCCTTTCTTTCTCTCTTCTCTGTTTTTCTTTTTTTTTTTTCCATAGCACTGCAATTCACTTCCATTTATTCTATCCAATCTCACTCAGTTAGTCCAATTTATTGTATGTTAAAGGCTGCAGCCTGGTCAGCTGAAAGACAGGAAGAGATAAGAGTAAGATTTTACACATCAAAACTATTGATGGGTAAGGGTATTAAATAATGCTAAATTGTAATGGGCATATCCTATGCCCATCACATTAATAATAATTTAACTGAAGATGTTTGTTTAGATGTTTTTTTCATATCACCTTGGTGAATGTAATAATTGTCAGACAAGGTATGGCTGAGAAAGTTTGTGCTGCAGCAACAGTTAATGTTCATATACAACATTTATATATGCTTTAGAAAGTATTTGAAAAGATTTAAAATGTCTGCACGAACTTTAGGAACATTTGAGCCCTTAATACCAACTTTGTTTTTAGTTTTGGTTTTCTTTGTAACCTGGCAGGACAAGTTGGGAAAGCAAAATGATCCTAATAGTTTCAGTTATTTGTTCAAATTTACAAATAAATCTTCAAATGTATGATTTCTGCTCATAAATTCTTGGTCCTTTTTGGGAGTAAACCAGTACTTACATCAACCGTCTCTCACATGATACTTCTTAGATTGCCCTAAATCCTTCATAACATGGTGACATGTAAACTGTTTCCCTGGTAGCAGCAGCTCCAGTCACTATCAGTGACAGCTAGTTTAACGTCAGCGCTGTCATTAAACTGGATGCAAATCTAATTTTCAATCTTGTGTGTGTTTTCAAATGGAACACATGAAGTTACTTTGTTTTTGACATCAAAATGTACTCAAAAAAATTTGGTAGGATTTGTTACCAAAACAAATCTACTCGTTTGACTGACTTGTATCTAATACCCTCCAGAATTAATTTTTACAGTGTAAATGTTACGCAAGCTGACTTATTTTTACACTCATGCAAATGTTTCAAACTGAACTGGCAGGCAAGGAGTTGTGCTTTGCAGCAAATGCCAGAGGAGAGTAAAGCAGATTGAAATTCAATTTAGTAGATCAGAGCAAAATAGAACAAAACAGAGAGCAGCTTTGTGTCTTCTGTGCTTTGAAGAAACATTTACTGTACTTGCAGCTTCCATCACAGGCCGATTATGTAGCAACCGCAGCCTTCACAGTCTATTACTTTACATCAATTATCTTAATACCAAAGCCGAACATGTCCACCAGTTTTTATTTGAGGAGAAAAATGAACTGCAACTAATGACTGTACACACAACAGGCGGCAAACAAATGCGCATCGAACAAAAGAAATAATGAGACTGGACCTGCTGAGTGACCCAACTGTTGCTCCAAAGAAAGCTTCTGCTTGAAACATTTTGCTGAAGTGCACACTGTAGTTGTTCACCCTGTAGAAAATAAGTGGTTTTCTTCTTCTTCTTTTTTTTTTTTACTTTTTTTTCCAGTGAGGGATTGGAATGAACAACACTGCCATTGCCCTTTCTAAACTTTATTTACAACTTTTTTCTTTTCCAGAACTCTGCAGAAGAAATAAAATGCATTTTTTTATTTAAAAAAAAAAAAAAAAAAGCAGAATACAACTTAAGAAGCTGTGTCTGACCTCAAATGTAATAATATGCATGGGGAACCATGAAGTAAATGGAAAATGAGAAACAAAAGAAGGCAGAGAATAACTGAGGATTTAGATTTGCATGAGCTGCACAAGGAGGGTCGTTGTAGGCGAAAACTCCTCAGGCGTACGTTCAACAAAATCAGACAGAAATAGTTTTCTACATTTTGTCAAATTACAGCAACAAACTTCTATGTAATTCTTTTGTTTATTAGGCCAACACAAAATAATGCATAACTGTGAAGTGAATTGCTACAACATAGATTCAGGTCTGGAATTAGACTTCAATTTAAATTAGTGCAGTGCATCTCTGGCAGCAGGCTTTAAGGTGAACTTCTGAAAAATTCTCAGCCTATAATAAAATTTCCTCCAGGTTTCCCTTTTCTTTCACTCCATCCATCTTTCCATCACCTCTGACCAGCTTATCATACTCCCGCAGCACGATGCTGCATCCTCCCGGTTGCATCTTAGGGGATAATGTGTTCAGGGTGATGTTGCGAACACATCACCCTGAACGCTTAGTTAAAAAAAAAATCGGTATCACGTCTTGCTTCATTTTCCACAAAGGACTAAAACTAAGCACTTCCTCTCCAATGAAACAATAAGGTTTGTGGTTGTAATGTGACAAACTCATGGGAAATGAATGCAGGGTTGTGAATACCTTTTCGAGGTACTGCAACGTAGGGAATGGATATACTAGATGCACACATCAGTGTATTTCAGGATACTGAATAAGCCACGATATTATATCTCTATATGAAGAGCAGGTGGAGGGAAGCGCATATGGCACCGGCCCCTGACTGTAGTCAGGAAATTCTTAGACAGCAGCCGAAAGCTGAGATAAAGAAGATCCCCGGGCTTTCTGAATACCTCTGCATATCTGTGCTGCTGACAAAACACACACACAGGGGTGACACATAATGAATGCTGCCACATAAACATGCACACAACCAAAACATTCACACACTCTGCAATGCAAGAACGCACATCTATATATGGAACCACGTACACACAAGCACACAAGGGTAAGGAGCCGATGACCCTCGGCTAACTCTACTTATCAGACTAAGCTGCTCCTGCCCTAAGGATAAGCAAAAGGGGAAAAAAAAGACTGGAATTCACACTTTGGATAGATTTAGAAAAGAATATAATGCTGAATATATTTTGGTTTCAAATAGGTAGCTGTGCTATCTTTCAAAGTTTCGGACATTGTTCCTTTTCCTCAGTTCCTCTCATTTGCTTAAAAAAAACAAACAATTGAGAACCCTGTTTATGAACATTTTCCACTCAGAATTTACACAGAAGGACCGCTGTGTGAGAATTTACCTTCGCTGCACATGTTCCAAGACAGATATCGACCTCCTTCTCAAGCAACACAGAGTAGCTGCTGGGTTTTTTGGTGCTGTTTCTCCCCAATTCCATAAAGCTTGAATTTATTATAAAAACTTGGATTTTGTTTTCTACCTGGCAAAACACATCTGCTCAGAACCAATATGTGCAATTTACTTTTCACATAATGCATTATGAAAGATTTAAGCACACTGCTGAAAAATTTGATCATCACTTTTCTTTTTTCTCAGTTCCTCTCATTTGCTCTGAACCTTTAGAGGGTTTCTCATTTGTGATTCCCCAACTAAAAATTGTGAATAAAACATTTTTTAGCTCTCTCCACTTGTTTCAGCTTCACGTTTGGCGGAGCTGGGTTTTCGCATCGCATTACTTCTCTTGCAAATTATGTTTTGATATGCAAATGATCAATTAAAAGATCCTTTCATGGAATTCAGACTCTTGCCAGGGCAAATATGTTCACAAGGACTCGGGGAAACAAAATGAACAGACTACAGTACTTCATAAAAGTATTCATTGAAAAGTGTTTTTACACAGCTAAAAACCTTCATGTGTCTTAATGGTGTTTAATGTGCTAAATTAATGCTGGTGTTATGTGTGCACTCCTCAAATTTAGCCTTTTAATGGAAGAATCTCAAGAGGAAAACCCTTCTAAGAAGAGTGCTCGAAGACGTTCCACCTGCACTGAAAAAAATAAGTCATTGGATGAACATAAAAAAATTATGGAAAGGATTTCCACCTGATTACTTTGCTTTATTTCAGCACCATGTACTTGTGTTACTCCTATTTAAAGCAAATGTGTTAGGTCAACCTAATTTATTAAGATTATTCCAATGTAAAGCAAATGTGTTGGCTCAACTTGTTACAATGGTGATTCAATGGGTGATTCTAAATCAAACATGTTGGCTCAACATAATATATTGTGGTTATTCTTATATAAATAAAATGAGTTGGCAAAACATAATTCATTAAGGTTGTTCTAATTTAAACCAAATATGTTGGCTTAACCAGAATTATGGTAATGCAATGGATGATTGTAAATCAAATGAGTTGGCTCTACTCCATTCATTAAGGTTATTCAAATTCAAATGAAATGTGTTGGCTCAACATATTTTTAAAGGTTCCTTTAACTCAGTTACTATAGTGTGACCCCCCAGTGTAATGCAATACAGCCCGCCCAACTAATCTGGAATGTTTAGGACCAAATCATGATGTAACTTCATTAAGATGAATGTAAATCTAGTTGAAACCACCTTATTTTACAGTGGTACCTTCACACTACCTGATTCAGTAGGTCCAACTCACTCAAAGTAAGTTAGCTCAACAAATATGCTTCATGCTAAAAGACAGCTAGTTAATCGTGTGGAAATCCTTTCCATTATTTCATGACGTTAATTCAAAGACATATTTTCAAGCGTTAATCAAGCATTTTAAGATAGCACTGGTGAAAGTGTAGGAAGAACACACAACAATTAGAAAAGGTACAACACAATTGTATTTTCAGAATTGTTATACATCTTTTTTTACACAACACAAAACACAGCCGAGTTGGACATTGAAATAAAAAAACAACTACAAAAAGGTTACAGTTTCATTTTCCATCTAATTCTTCACAACATAAAACATGCCAGTATATTTGCTCAACTTAGAGAACTGTAACAATATAAATCTTTTCTACTGCAGACTTTAAACACTCATTTCCATATGAAACTTTACTCAACTTAGCGGCGAGTTTCATATTGAGAACTTGTGCTTTCTTTGATAAGTTCTTTCCATCCAATTTCATTATTATTTTCTGTATTACTTCAAAGGTATGCTTGAGTTACTGAGCAAGTTGAGTGCTGAACACACTAAACTTGAGGGTAGCTCAAGTTTAGTGCGTAGATTAGTCCCAGCAGCATCACTATTGCAGAAGATACACTGCCCAAGCTGTTCATAACTTCCACCTCCTCCAGGACAATCCCAACATCCAGATGTGCATCGGCAGCCTCTGCACCTCTGCTCAAATGACGATTCCGAGGACAGTCTCGGCTTTGGCCATTTCTGCACATTCATCAACGTCCTAAGGGAGTTATGGAAGGGTATTGGGGGGGGGGGAGACAATTCACATAATTAAATAAATAAATTAGACTGACATTGATTGAGTCACTCATGGACCTTAGTTGGTGAAAGTATTTTAACAACTCTTAGGAGTTCTAGTGTCAACACAAAGAGAATTAACATACCATGTACTCCCTCACCAGCTTCTCTGGATCTTCATTTAGGTACACACAGACCTTTGAGGATGCACTCTCGTCTGACCTCAGCAGTGTCTTCCTAAATATGCAGATCAAAAACAATGAGAACAATCTCAAAACTCCAGCAGTATAGGTTCACACTTGAAAACATAGCTACATTCAAAGGAAGTCACAACAAAAGTGGTCAGTGGCTTGCAGTCTGTTTGAAAGATATTTAAAATTGTTAGTATCCCTTCATTATGCCATGACTAAAATGGAGTTTAACATCTTATTTAAACATCTAACTGAAGCTGTTAGATGTTTAAATAAAGACATGAATATATCACCAAAGAAATATGTGAAAAGTACAGAATGGTCAACACAGTCTATATCCTTCTACTTAAATGAATATGCAAAGCATTCCATGTCTTACAAGTACATGGACAGTCTATGTGTGGGCATGGATAACGTCGCATATGCCGGTGTTTTTAAATGTAAAATGTTTTAACAGGTCATATCTACGAGACAGAGAGAGACTACACTCCTTACATTTCCACATCCCCACGCAAATAAAGACAAATAAAACAGACTGGCCAAATAAATGTTTAGCTGAACCCTAGCTTTATAAGCTCTAACACTACATTCAGTCACTTTAGATCTGGCAAAACTTACTATTAGCCACTGAAATCTATAACTTGATAGCCGATGAGCCCCTTGACCAGAACTTAAGCAGACAGGTGATGTTCTGAAAGAGATCAGATATATTTTCAGCCATTAAAATATGCAATTCATAGTGAACTGAGTTGTATCTTTTAGTACAAGTCCCTTGAATGCCTCATGAATATAACCACAGGACACATGCAAGCACATATGTGCAGAACAGGGTGAATTGAACATGGTAGAAAGCAATAGTAACATAGGTCAAAATGAGCACATACAATCAACACAAAAACATCATTTCAAATTAAACCAATGAACTTCAATATTGTTCTGAGCTACAATTATTTGGGGACAACAAAGAAGAGTCCAAAAAAAACCCAACATCTTTACAGCAGAGGAATATGTATTTTAAAGAAAGAAAATAGAAAGCTCAAGTCTGTAATAATGAATAATCCATTGAGAGTTTTAGCCTGACAAAATATACTAGAAATCCATAACTAAGGTATTTTAGGAACATTAACAAAGCTCAGAAAGCAATGCTTTCTGCAGGTTTCACCGACTGAAATGTAGGACTTTTTATTACCATAATTAATTAAGAATCTCGATGATGATAGAAAGGTACCAAAGTGTGTGTATCTACATTTACCTCCATAGTAACATTACTGAAATAGAATTAAAATAGTTAGAAATAGACTGATGTTAGATCCGTGTGTTAAAAATCCACTAAACCTCCAGGGAGCTCAGGAGGAACAAACTGTGACATTTCTGGGGTCCATTTGTGTCTCTGGCAGCAGCTTTGTACACCACATATGGCTCTGCAGACTTTTTTCGCACAGAATGTACCTAACATGGTGCGGCGATAAATGTAAACAAAAAGCTATCTGCCTTAACCTAACCGACTTAATCTACAGAACATGAAATAATGTGACACAAGTATGGAACAAGTAGAAAATGGTGCAAATGTTAGAGAAATTTTAAGTTACATATTTTTATATGGATTTGATGAAAATAGTTTGACTCTTACCTTCTTCAAATTAAGTAGATGCACGCCAGGAATCTCCCCTCTGCCCTTGAAAAAACCCAACAAGGTGCAAGCCAGTTATCTCGCGTGATTTTCTGTAATCTCTTGATGTCGCTGGATCCCCTTCAGCGGGAGATGAGTTTTTTTTTTTAATTGCAAGCGGGAGATGAGTCTGACACAATAGCGCTTTGGAACTGACGTCACTGTGTTTTTTATTAGATTAACTTTGACAAATATAGATATTGAATAAAATAAAATAAAAATATAAATATATAGGCTATATATATCTTGGCACAGCCAAGATACTGCGCAGGACCTCAAGCTCCCAGGCCTCTGGTAGAGGACCGAGCTCAGAGGATAAGAACCACCCACAGTGGGTATATATGTTAATTAGATGTATTCAAGTTGAGATAACGTCATTCAATCACGTTAGTCCAGTTGAGAGAAAAAAACGATTGTCTCGCGTGTTCTCGCGTGATATCCCGTGATCTCACTCGTTGTCCTCAGCACAATATCAGTCTGACTATAATGAATCATGTTAGCTCAACATGATTCAATTTTATAAATGTGAAGTCGTGGAATATCTTGTTTATCCAACATGATTTTATCACGTTTTCGCTTCAAACCCAACATTATTGTGTGAAAGGTACATGATATTCTTTTGTTCATGTAATATGCCCCGACGTTTTTTTTTGGCGGAAGATCTAGCTGACGTAATTGAATCACGTATCTCACCTTGAATACATTTTATTCCATTTGCGAGAGAAAACCGATTGTCTCGCGTATTCTCGCGTGAACCTGCGTGATATCCCGTGATCTCACTCGTGGTCTTCAGCATAGGATCGGTCTGACTATAATGAATCATGTTCGCTCAACATGATTCAATTTTATAAACGTTGAAGTTGTGGAATATCTTGTTTATGCAACATGATTGTATCATTTTTTGGCTCAAACATGGAATTATTTAGTTAACAGTACATGATATTCTTTTGTTAATGTGATAACCCCTGAGGTTCCTTTTTTACAGTGTGCAGCACACCACAAACCATGCAGAAGACAATGCTGTGGTCAGATGAGACCAAAAATAAACTCTTTGGCACGTATGCAAAACACTGTGTCGCAGTACATACTCCACCTCAGCCTGAACACACCATCTCCACAGGGAAACATGGAGTCGCAAGCATCATGCTGTGGAGAGGATTTTCTTCAACGAGGTCATGGAAGCTTGTTAAAATTGAAAATTAAGACTCACACCTGCCGGACTTACTGGGTAGGAAGCAAAAGGAAATATTTCACTCTCTAGATTTGAATGTTGGAATCAGTTTGCAGATTTTCCTCTCATGCAGTGTCAAACTCCCGTCTGGGATTGGCTTGTTTGTGCATGGTTCACGAAAGCCAAACACGTCCTAAATTGCTGTAGAATTAACTTTTGTATATTACATTTGTCAAAGACATATCAGTCAGTGGATTGAATCATATATGTACAAATATATATATAAAACTGTCCTCGAATTTTTCAGCCACTTAAATCCCACACGAGCAGAACTTGCCAAAGCATCACAGTCATTATAGCAGCCGGTTGTGAACTCACAAATCCCCTTTCTTCTGCCTCTTGCAGCTTAGGGCTGCGGAGCAAGCGGAGTGGCGGGGAGGGAGTGGTGTGTGGGGCGAGTGAGGCATCTGAACAAACATACACTAATATGTCCGATTCGCTCACAGGTAAGAGTTTGTCTTCGGGTCCTCGTGTCGTGTGTACATTTTTTGTGTCTTCTCACGCATAAGCGGAGGCTTGCGTTAGCGCACCCATCGCTGCGAGCCTTTGTGTGCGACTTAAACACCATTTCCTTGTGCCTGGCAGTGTGCTGATAAGGACGGGATTCTCTCAAGACTTAAATACACAGAAAACTGCAGAGACAATTAGTGCTCTGTTGTTTTACAATCAATAAAGTTGCAGCGGCGCAGTTTCAGCGGAGGATTCTATTGAATTAACGAGAACACAGGTCACTTGTCGTCTCCACAAGCTTTTACTGCAACTCCTTTTTTACAACAGGTGTGCCAAGTGACAACAAGGCTAATTTTGATTGAGTCACATGTTACATGCAGTAACTTGAGGTTTAAACTGGTGGTGGGAAGCTTGTTTTATCCAATCCCAGAATGTATTCCAAAACATTAATCTTCAGTGTTGAGCAGTCTCCCAAGTCTCATTAATTGTAGCCCTCTCTTTGTGTTTTTGTATCGCGCAAGTTGCTCTCTGCGGGCCTTTTGATTAGCAGTGGCAATCTGTCTTCACTGCTAAATGTGCCTTTCAAATGTTTCAATTTCTCCTAAACCTTATTTTATCATATCACAACATCAATGTCTAATGTATTTTGTTGGAATTTTGTCAGACAGCCTGCTACGTTGTTGAACAACCTTTCCATCCCCATTCTTTTTTGAAAAATAGCTCAAACTCAGTCAGCTGAACACCCATTGCAGCTCTGACTGTGTAGAAATTAAAGTTCCTTCCTGTTTTATAGCCGTTAGCAAGTTTGCTTCCTGCATTGGAAGTAAACCTTCCAGCATTTACTCCATTATTGAATATAATTTGAATGAATGAGTCCCTTCTGTCCCTTCAGCTGGAAAGTTAAATACAGTCTGCAGCTGCACAACATAAAAATTAAACATCTAAAAAGAGATGGACAAATATATAGTGAGAACAACATGTTCACTGCACACACAGGTAATGACACTTTAATTAAGATAAAACCAACTTAAAAGTAACTTATCAGCAGTTTGTTTTAAGTAAATACTTCCTTAATATTTATGAAAAGCTAACAGTTTCATTGGTAGATTGTTTCACTTATAACATGGACAAATTGTCTTGTCACAAAATTGATCTGGAATCAGAACTAGTACTTTTTCATCAATATTAAGAAATTATTTACTTAAAACAAGATTCTATAACCTGCTGAGAAAATACTTGTAAGTCAGTTTTGTCTTATGTAATAAGATGTAAATGAGACTAAAATACTTGGCAATATTTGGTATTTATGCAGCGTTTGAATGGCAACAAACTCTAAAATCACAATCTGACTCATTTCCCTGTTCATACTGAAAAAACATTAAAGAATCTCCACACTACAATATTTACATCACCGTGTTTTTCTGTGGTTATTTTTTTTAGGATGAAACGCTGTATCATGTAGCATTTTGCATGCATAGAAGCCAAAAAAAAAAGAAAAAAAAAAGAAGAGTTCTGGTCTTATCTGACCAGAACACCTTATCCCACATGCCTCCTGCGACGTGAAGCTTGTAACAAACAGCAAACGATGGCTTTCTTTCAGAAGTGACTTTATTCTTACCATCCATCCCTCCATAAAGTCCTGCTGCTGTGTGGAGTGAACTACTTGTAATTGCCCCATCAATAGATGATCCTTACCCGTTGAGGTTTCGTATTCATGCACCGTGCGCTCTCATTTCCATCAAACTTTCTCTTTCACTTACTAACTCCCTTCCTTTTTTTCCCCCGTACCAGGCTTCTACCTCACTTCCTCCTCCACAACCCCTATGACCCTCCAGGCCAAGTTCAAAATATGAATTACTAAAGTCCTTGAGAAACCCTGATTCAGACAATTCCATGTCAGCTGCACAGCCTTCCAGCATCCCCTTGTGATACTTGCCTGTCCATCAATTACTTCTCTTTAGACAACCCTGCTTCTCTTCCTCCTCCCCACCTGCTACACTGATACTAAATCACTCCAGCAGTTATCTCTGCCTGCAGGAGGTGAAGAAGGAGAAATACTGAGCAAAGTAAAGAAAAAAAAAAAAAAGATTCTCAGCTAAAACACGGGGGATCATCCGAGCCCATTTCCAATTCTTTAAGATTCTACGCAGCTACTCACAATTCAGTTTCATTTGCACTTTCTATAAACAAAATAAAAAGTTTCATTGTCAGCTGCCTGTCACTCAACATTTCTAACAGTGCGCTGGCGTGGAGCACATCTGTATCACGTAGGTGAGCCAGCAGGATGGAGCAGTCCCAGTTGCACAGATGCAGCGTTTGACTTGAATGTCAATCGAAAAAAGACGTCCAGAGTAATTAGTTTCCAAAATTCCCTGGATTCAGCATGTTCATTTGAGATTACATCTTTCAGAAAAGGAATGCGTAAAGAAAAAAAAAAATCTCATGTCTTGCCCACAACTTATCCACCTTCTTCATGTAATGACTTTTGAACTACCGAAAGGATTTAAAATGCATATGTCAATACAGAGAGAAAGGTAGAGTCTCAACTATATTGTGCTTTAGAAGTTTCTTACTCTCTTCCGATTTTACGTACCTCTTAGAGTCCTCATAAGTGAGTTTCTGTCCATATGGGTCAACATAAATACAAGTGCGATGAATAGATGATGTGACCCAATTCACCTTTCCAGTAGAGGTGAGTTGGGCAAATTGTACATCCACATTTACAGATTTATTCATATCTCATCGCCATAACGTCACAAACTTCAATGTATTTTATTGACAGAAACAACACAAAGTATCAAATGAACAGTAAAGTTTAGGGTAAATAATCCATTGTTCTCATTGTGAACAATATTTCACAATATTTCAAAAAATCTGAAAATATTGTTGTGCATTTGTATTGAACCACTCTGAATTAATAATCTGTATTTCCACTGTAATTGCCGCTTTTAGCCTGTAGGGCTACATCTGTACCATATCGCTGCAAATTTTTTATTTCTCGACTTTCTTCTTTGCAAAGTGATTGAATCTCAGTGAGACTGGATAAGGAGTATCAGTAAGCAAAAGTTTTAAAGTTTTGCCACAAAAATTTTATTAGATTTAGGTCTGGACTTTGACTGGGCCATTCACTGGAATATACTTTGATCTAAACCGTTGCGTTGTAGCTCTAACTTCAGTCTTTCAGCTTTAATGTGAACCAACTCTCAGATCTTCCCCAACCTCTCACAGATTTTCTTCCTGAATTGCCATGCGTTTAGCTCCTAAACCTTCCCATCAACTTTTGTTGTTTGTGGTGTTTTTTTATTGTGCAAGCAGAGCTGCTTAATGTATGGATGTCCAAGACAATTTTCTCCCCAGGAACAACAAA